TTTGCCATCGAGAAAAATCTCCTGTCTTAATATTTAAATCATACTGTCCAATATTCCACAAACGTCTTTAACTAAACGGTTTGGTTTAATGAGGTGCATTTAGTCAATCTCTACTTAAGTTATTGACAATAATTATCCGTATTGATCAAGCCGAAGTGTGTCTTAAAGAACTTGTAATTGTCTGTGCACTGTTCATCCTGGGACTTATCAACACCACTGACTCTATCTAAACTGTTAAACCGTTTGCTCTACGAAGCCTCTTTGTGTTATTCCCTATCTAAATCCAGTCTCTGTCTCCAGCAGTAATGATGCTGTGTGTGTGTGTGTGTGCACAGTGCTGGCTGGACTGAGGCTGAGGCTGCCCTGGCACCAGGTCGGCTTCTCCCACAGGACGCTAATTAGACGCACTAATTGGACAGCAATATATCAATGTCACCTTTTGATTAGCTCTTTTAGAACCTCTGCAGCACAGTTGGAAGCTTTTAAAAACATAGTTAATAAAAGCATCTTATTTCACTTGTGTAACGTGTACACTCCATTATGTGTGCAAGGACTTACATACACTAGGCACAATATCTCCAGTCTCTCACACATCGATTATAAGTTTCATATATTTATTGCACAAGCAGGTAAAGGCATGTTCATAACAGGTATGTTTATTGTAAGGCAGTGCGTTCTGGTTGAGCCTCGAATACATTGTGTTATTAAACAGTCCTTCAAAAAAAACGATTGAAAATAGTCCCTCTTTTCTGATAGCACAGGTCGCTGCCAAGTACCCTATAAAGATCACTGAAAACAGTCACGCTTAGAATTCTACATGCATTGCACTTTACGTCAGGGTAATTTGGGCTGAATCGATGATCAGTCATACACACAATATATGAAGTACAATACTTATGTACAATACTTGACATATTGTAGCAATAAGGTAGTAGCATTTTAAATTAAAAAGATTAACGAAGTCAATAGGGAAAATAACACAAATGGTGCACTACATCACCTTTACCACATTAAACACTCACGCGGAAAAAAAACCCATGGAGTATTGCACAGGAGAAATGGATTGCACGTATTTATGAAAACCGTCGTAGTTAATAGTTGCGTGTTAGTTAATTATATGTTCAGTTACATAAACCTCAGGTTTTCGGCTCGAAACAAACTAAGAATAATTGAAATTTGGGGTTATGCAATAAAAATGATCAAAATCTATTCACAATTGTATTCGAAAAATCCATATCTCCCATCAGTTTACTACGAATATATGTAAAAAGATTCAGACTGCAAAAATACAGTAAAATATTATTTATCCTATAAAAAACACAATCCAGCCTTTGTGATGTTATTGTCAATGCCTTTCCACTGTACAGACATCTCTGGTTACACAGGTTTTGTTTGCCAAGGCCCATTGCGCGTAAAACGATTTCAGCATTACATGGTAACGTGAACCGAACCTGCGATATTTTACAATACGAAACATCATCAATACTTGCTTTCATGATATTGCTATTATTATTGTCTTTTAGTGACAGAATCATCTGAAAATATAAAACAAACTTCATAAAAAGAGCTTTGAAAATTCTTAGCCACAGTAGGGTTAAATTGCACCGTTTTTTTCCTGACTACCTGACATTTTCTTTCATGTATGGAAAGTAGTAAATCTATAAACATATACATTAAATATTAAGATATTTGTTCTTTCCATTTGAAACGTGGAATAGGTGTAGTTGAATATTTTAAAAGATATTGCAAACCAGATGTAGTAGCAGATCTGAGATCCAGTCCTGTGGATCAGACATGGTTTCTATAAATATGTATGATAAACACACCAAGGTTCTCGCATTTACAAGATGGTGCCATTGATTGAATCTGTGACCTGCGATTCCAAATGATTTTTGGAAGGCTATTCAAACAGATGAACGCGTAAATTGTCGTGCTTGTATCTGAATTAATATCTCATTCATCATCATTATCATTTGATGGGTCCATTTAAGCTCTTCACCCTACCGGAACGAACTAAACCTACACTAATATAACATAATTTAGGACAGTGGCTATTTTAATAGTGCCAATTCAGCGTATGGCTTCCTTATGCACAGTCATGTTTCATTATTGGTGCTTACATTAAATACAGTGCATGCACATGGTTTGTGTTTAACATGACAGAGGTGACTGACACAAGGGAAAGGAGAAAGCACTCCAGCGTCTCCTTATACGTAGAAGAAAATGAACTATGGATAAAACACAAAAGTCTAGCTAGGAATGACGTTGTTTACAAAATTGAGATCAAAGAATGACAGATTCCCATGTGCCTGGAGTGAAAAGGAATGACGTAGTAGCCAGGTAGGGATGCACCGGATTGGGACATGGACAAGGAAAGAGTTAATAAAGATAAAATGTAGTACAAAGGACAATAGGAGATGGGAAAGACAGTCTCATCCAAAGACACGCATGAACACACACATTCATATACGTCTGTACATGCACACAAGCAGGGAGAAGGTAAACGAAGGGGCACAGTTACATTGTCAGTGTGGGACTGGTACAAAACAAAGGGTTCAAGCACATTAAAAAAATAAATTGGGAGGTTTGCAGCACTTGCTGTGATTTTTGCTCTCGTTTCCTTTCACCATACGCACAAATGTTTCTGTAGTACAGACTACACTAATGCTACAGAGCAAAGGCGTTACGCTTGAAATTCATTCTCCCCTCACTTTAAATCAAATATAATTGAACAACTTCATAAATCAACGAAATGTATAACGTTTAACGCATTTGTCAGTTGCATGGCGTAACATACGATATTGCTTCACCTGACTGGTGTAAGCTGTTGAAACAATACCAATAACATTTCATTGCATCGTAAAGTGCTGTAGATCACGAATACATATAAGCCAGTAATTATTTTGCACCATTTTTCACTGAACGTTTAATCCAAACTTTGCTTCGACTCGCGTAAGAGTTGAGAATTTACGCTTCGCAAGCGAACCGAACTAAATTCTTGTTCAATTCTGTTCGCTTGCTTAAATGGAACATTATTCTAAGCATATGCACCGTAATCAGCTTGGTCACACTTACAAGAACAAGCGTTAATAAGGCAATCAATCAAAGCAAAACAATCAGGCGCTTCTGTTTGAGCCACAATTCGCGGATGGAGCCAGGAGCCGAGCATGACATATGATGATCGGATGATTCTGAGGCAATACTGGATACATTCCACCCGCAAAGATATATTGTTCCTTTTTTTTATGAAACTTCAATTTAGACAGAGAGTGGTTCAATTACCCTGCAAACACAGTCAATTAAAGAATGTTGATTGGACGGGAGGATGGATCATCGATCTTTGCATTTCAGTATCACTTTCAGACATCTAATTTTGCTTTTCCTATTAGCTGTTAACTCGAAAGAAAATATGGCCCGTGTTACAGCAACCGAGCGACCATTTGAATGTCAGAAACAATTCTAGTTCCACAATCACAAAACGTAGGTTTTACAAAATAATTTCTGGGCCATTTGAAGCCTGCCGGCGAAATTAACCCACAGATGATCTTCCTTCTTTCTCAGTGTATCTGTTTAACATGTTTTATTGTTTTATCCTGAGATAAGTTTTAGAAAACGATAAAAGACACAAAAAGACAAACACAAACTAGTTTCCAATCCCCTACAAAGTAAACGATTCTCGTACAGATAGGTTTAATGGTTGAAAGAAACGATGGAACTACAGTGAGTTGAACTGGTTTATTTTTTTCTTCTTCCTGATTACATTAAAACGTCAAACAACTGGGAAATAAAGAGGGAAACGAAAGAAAAAAATAACAGATTGTGTGATTGCTAACGCTTCTATTCTGTTACATTAAAGTCACGGTGATAAAGAGTCACCGCATTTTTTATAACCACACTTTAAAAATAAATTAAGAGCCATTCAGCCACTGGTACAATCAAGATCAATGCAATTTCGAATTGCACATTTTCGTTTGTAATTTAAATAACAATATAAATAATCCGATTTTGCCGCGATGTAACCATTACACAGACAGGCGAATTTAAATGGACTAATTTAGTAGCACAATGGTTGGATGGCCTACAAAATTAGGTTGAGATTTCCTTTTGTTTGTAACTACACCTGCACATTGATCATGTTGTGAAAATAACTTGAACATATATTGGAGCACTGTCCCCGTGTGGCAGTGACAGTCGTCATAGATCGAACGATTCAATTTGTTTAATCACCAGAAGCCAATCATTCCTGTTCTGTTACAGAATTATTAGGAAAAAATTAGATGTTAAACCAAGAGTGAATAAAAATGAGAAACAAAATGCCCAATGTTCTAGATATTCGGCATACAATGCAGACGACTGGACATTTAAAACCGATTCCATACTTATTAATCAAATGGGCATTTTTTTTACATTTTCAAACAATTATTAAATATATTGTTTGTCGTTTGTAAAAGATTTGATTTAAACCCATAATGTAAACTAAACCAGTTTCAATAAACAGCGAACGAAACATAAGAAATAAATGGCCGTTTTTAAAAACAGCCAATGTAGTTTGGAATTATCCGTTTTTACTGTAAGGTGGGGTTCAGTTAAAAATTGAAAATGTGAAAGCAAATTTGGACTGTAAACACTATTCATAAAACAAACACAGATACAAAGATCCTTGCAACTCTTTATTTTCAAATTCCACAGCACGTCTGCCACAGGCAACTTTCAGAATTTAAAAACGTGAAGACATCTGTTTATGGAAAGGTGAGTTCAATTGGTATTACTTGTCATACTTATTTTGTCCCAACAAAAATCCCCTTAAAGGACCCAAATATTCCTTTATTTGTAGTTTTGAGAACAGCTCTGTTCCCAACGGTGAGGTCAGTCACTTTCATCAGTGCAAACCAACCAACCAATATATTTTGGAAGTTACTACAGTAAGGAAAGAAACGTATTCGATCTAATCAGTTTCCAAACAGGATTCTTTAGAGGAGTTGCTCAGTTCCCCATCACATGATCCTTTCCTCAGTGGCATGTTTAAGTTTGGCACCAGGCTTCTATAATGAAGATATCATACATATACTATTAAAACCTCAACGATACAGATACACGACTAGAACGTTCTCATCAGCATATGACACATTTGGTAGGAAACCAAGGAAAACGAATCAAATCCACTCTACAGGGAAAAGTGAGATGTTGTCCTGCAGGAATACAGTGTAATGGAGTGTTGGAGCAAGGACTAGTTATCCAGATACCCGGCATTTCCGCTAGTGTTCAAACCTTTCTTTTTTAAGAAAATCGTGTGCACTTTTGAAGTTAGATGTTTTCGCATGCTTCCAGGTTGATTCATCTTGTTAAAGGAACTTCTTCTCTCTGGTCCAGAGAAACGGCAGCAGCTTTACTCAACACAGAAGGTGTAAATGTGAGGAAAGTGTCAGTTCTGGAGCTTGAAGCACACGTGAAGTCCGTCCCTGCAGCTCGCTGTGCCACTCCGTTGGATTGGCTACTGTGGCAAGTTAGACACGAGCAAGGACTACTCCCGGCGCTGCCAAGTCCATGGGTAGCGGCAGAAGGATAGAGAGACGGGTGTCTGAATGCACACAGCAATTCTGGCCGTGGGTAGGGGTGGGAGAGGACTCTGAAGGTGTCGAGAGGTCTCAAAGGGGTAGTGAAAGGGCTAGCGGCTGAGGCTGAGGCTGCAGACATGCCCATGTGTGGGTAGTAGTGGAGAGGTACATGTGATGGGAAGGGGTAGGGCAGGTTACCAGCGGCCGCCGCATGGCTCATCATGTAGGTGTAAAAGGTAGGATCGGCCGGATGTGGCCAGGTCATCGCTAAACGCTGTCTCTTGTCTTTCATTCTGCGATTCTGAAACCAGACCTTAAAAGAAGAAAAACACATAAATATGCAACGCGGGGAAAAATCCCTACATGCGTTGAACGAAGCTTGAAAATTGACTGCACACAAACGTGTGTATTGCCTCGCGCTCCATTATTTTTTCAAAAAGTGTAACTTTATTTAAACACTTTCCCAATTTCCCAAGAATATTTATATCAAATTGGGAGGTCAAACCTCCACTACGTTTGATGCCCTCTTACATATTGGATGAAGAACACCGCTTCACGAATATATTTTACAGCCTAAATGATCAAAAATCTTTTGAATGATGCTGTACTTATTTTTGACTTGAAAACACGCACTTCTATGCCTTTTCTTTTGCCAGTTTGTGACTGTTGCGTGCGTTTATTTTAAATTGATTCAAAATTCATGGCAAGGTTCAAAACAAATCAATAAAATAAATGGAAGTCAAATAAGATGTCAGGCAAACAACAGGAATCAGCCGCCATCTTAGTACTTTTTACATATAAATATATTGCTTCCTGTATTGAAACTTTTAAGTTAAAACGGGGAGAGCTAAAACATATATAAGCAATCGGCCTTGCGGATGGATAGTTGGAATAGGGGCCTGATGAGCCCCTCACACATACTGGGACAGGTTTGCTTAGCAACCCATTGAGGGCTGCTGGGTTGCACCTTGCAGTGAACTGTGTGCTTCACCCTCCCTCAAGAATAATAATCCACATAACTTGAGTTAAAATGAAAAGGAAATACAGTCGCCAATGAAGACGATTTCTTTCACTATCTTATAAATCCATCCCAAATATATAACAAGGTTTTTTTAAAAAAAACTCTTTGAAAATGTAGTACATGGTGCTACAATTTGTCTTGCATGAATGTTATTGAATATTCAATTATTTTATGTAGATTATTTTTTATAAAAAGACTGCTTCAAGCAACAGACAACATATCAAAACATTCCGTATGGTAGTATAATAAAGATTGCTAATTAATTCAGAATTCCTGTAACTGGGACAATAGTTCAAAGATATTCACCAGAATCAGAGCAAAGTCTAGCAGTGAAGAAAAACCATTCGCCCCTTTTACTTTAAAGCAGTCTAAATCTGTTTCTTTGTCATTTGTTTCACCTTTGCATATTTCGTTATGTATTTATTTTGGAAGCAAGTGTTCAAATGTATAAATCATTCTAAACGCGGATATGTGTGTATTGGACTTATAGCTCCTTCTAACCAGCCTTCATTTTGCTGTTATATTGAAACAGAAAACTGTCGTCAAACCTTTTCATGTAATTCCATAGTCCGTTGCTGTCTTATGTCGATCATATTATTTCGAAATCACTTCTAACAGCAGTTATTTTCACAAATATTTTGCTTTATTGTTTACGCTTTATTTCAGCACCCTTCCCCTCTCCCGGACCCCATTCACCTTGATGGTGGTTTCTGGCAAATTTAAAGCCGCTGCCAGCTCGCATCTCCTGGGCCTGGAGACATAGTTTTCCCGGTAGAATTCCTTTTCCAGCCTGGCAATCTGTTCCCTGGTGAAAGCAGTCCGGTACCGCCGCATCTGATCGGCTCCTCCACCGCCCAGCAAACTCTGAGAACCGGCCACTTTGGGAAGCTCACCCCCGCCGTTACTGCCCATTGGATCAGCAGAGTGCCCTGCAACAACACACATGTCAACAGTGTTTCCAAATCACTCAGTTACCAGCACCTAAAGTAAGATCATTGCTCATCATAAAAACTCCGCACAAAATGCCCCCCCCCCCCCTCCCATGAATGATATACACCCGTTACTTAAATCATTAATAACAGTTTTCGTAACTCTCGCAAAGCGATTGTAATGTTTCTCCTTTAATATTTTAACGACTGGATGAATTCGAAAGAGTCCGACCCAATTTTCAAACGACAGTAGTTCAAATACTTTATAGCTACGTACCAATCAACATCTATGTCCTGTGTAAAGAAGCAGCCTATTTAGTGGTAAGAATGCCTTTGTAGTTCAATTGCCCTTTTTGGGGTTTTGAGCACTGCATGAACAGGATTCCTTGCAACACAATTAACTCGTGGATTTGAAGTGGAACAAACTGGTTGAGCAAAGTGTGTTGGTTAATTCCGAGCTCATTTGAAATGGACTCCCCTCTCTTGTCTCTCTTTTCTCCGGGTTTGAATGTGACTATAAAAGTGAATGCCGGCCAGTGGCTTGCCTGCAGGCTTTCATATGCGCTGCGTCTTATTGAACCTCATCTCTAGACACCTATTTCCGAGCTGGCGCCGACAAGATCCTCGGAAAGTGACAATTTGGAAGATTCGTAAGGTGTTAACTCCTCAGAACCTGCCATTCAATAACCATCTCGTCTCTTCCAAGAAACGGAACCCGTGTCTTGCTTTTCAAATCTGTGCCTTTAATCTCTCGCTTACGCATCTGACACTTTTATTCGGGTAAATAGTCAACATCAACCAATAACTGTATTGAAATAAAACGCGAACAACGAAATTAAACCAGTCAACTACCCTCACATATTAGGCTTATTTTACACCGACAACATGAATCGAAATTGTACCAGCGTTATATTTATTCTTGTCCGAAAAAATAGACCATTGAAGCATTTCTGTCATAAGACTCGAATAAATCAGTCCTGTGGGTAAATCGATTACATTTTAAATAGGTATGTTCAATCCATTTAAATGTGTTGCTGGAAATCACTGGATGATATTTACATTTGAAAACTTAAAAATCAACGAAAGTGTATATATATACAAATTACACTGAAAACATCAGATATAGAGATATATTGCAACAGAAATGTGACCATTACCTTTGTTTCCTTGGTAATCGTGGCAGTCTGGAGTGCAACTAACATCTATCTCATCATAATAATCTGACTCTGTTTCCGGGCTGTTTTGCACAGAAAGAGATTTGCTTTTGGCCGGGCCATCGGACGAAGCCTTGTCGGGGGCAGAGTGCCCTGAGCCCGGTCTTATCTGAGTGCCAGCATCGGTCCTCGAATCAGTCTCCTCATCTCCGCTTTCCAGCGTCATCGGCGCCGACCCAGGACTCGAGCAACTCCTGTGGACCACGTTTTCATGGGATTCGGTGCCTGGGATTCCAGCTGGTTCTGACAAATTCGCCACCCTCCTGCCAACAGGATTGCCATGCTGACCTCGCTCTATTATCAGCAGCATCTCTTTCCTCGATTCCATTGTGTACGGATCTGAGATCAAATCAGAGCGAGCAGAGGAGCACAGGCAAGAGGACACAGTTCAAGGGAACACAAGGTAAAACACTGAGATGCGATGATGACCTTCTGATGTTAGCGCTCCACTCGGAAGCACTGTAGGTCTGGGAGGGATCACCATTGCCTGGTCTTTCTAATCTGTCATTCTTAATGTCGTAATCGTCATTACAGTGCCTGGGTGACGCCAACGAAGTGATTGCCACCGGTTTACAAGTAGATAACGCCTGCCACCGTGAAGATGAAAGCAGCTCCAGCCTCTCGCTGATGTACACGCGTAAGTAGAGAGAGAGAGAGAGAGAGAGGAAGTGCGAAACGTCTCAAACAGCTCCCACAAATGAGAGACTCCACAACAGCACAGCATCTCAAGGGAGATGGGGAACAAGAGCATCGTCAACTTTCTTTTATCACTCGATTGTATTATAAATAACGAAGCAAAACAGCCCCTGGATTGCAATCATCGTGACACTCTCCAGTCATTGATCTTGCAATGATTCGAAATTGGGTTCATTCTGTTACTGTTCATATATAAATATTACCAGCATCGCACTGTTTCAATAATACATTTCCACTGTCAGTTTTTCTTCATATTAAAAAACAAATCCCGATGCTGCATTTCCTTCATATTAAGGGAGGAATTTGTGTGCACGTTTTACACGAAGGTTTTTGTTTTTAGCTTTGTTGATATTGCTCCGACGTAAAATTGTCGTGACCGAATTAACATCAGAGGAGAAATTATTACAATCTTAACAATTCGCGGTTTCATATATAGGATATAATTATCATGTAAGTATTTAAAATGCACTGTTTTGCATCCTCCAGATATAGAAACTGAAGAAATTACACTTCTCAGGACTCATCTCATCCATACATTAATTGGATTCTTACCATCAGCTCATGTGAAACAATGAGTATTATTTATGCTTTAAATAAAATATATATATTGAATTGCATTTATTTTCAACACATAAGAGTATCAGTTTTACAGTTTAAGATTTCGCTCTGTATCTCGCCTACCATTAATTCTGTGAACCAAATTAATTAGATAGGTTTAATGTTTCAGCACATATTTTAAAATTACGTTGATGCTCACTTGAGCTCTGTTAATCGATGACACTCGAGTTACGTGAATCACACATGTACCACGCATTTTAAAATATCATTTCGATCTCTATTGCGAAACACAATGTTCCATAAATATATTAGTTGTCTCATATTTTTGTTCCTTTTACGCTTAATAATTTACGTCGCCGAAAATAATTGATTATTGCTTCTTTTTGTATCCTATTTTGTAACTTGTTAATGCAACAGTAAAATAGGAACCTCGAATCGCTCTTAAGCTTTAACAACAGTATCTCAATTTAACAGGTCATTTTAACTACTTAATTGGTTTGAATGGTTTCAACAAGAAGCACTCGACTTGAAAATTTAAACAAATTATTATTAGTCAAAATTGTTTACATGTTCAGAGTTTAGAGAGTGACCACGCGTTAAAGGGTTGTCATGGTGCTTATTGGAGATTAAGCAGAACACATTAGCGAGGCAGGTCGCTGCTGGCCAAGTGAGGGCAGAACACAGTGTAAGACGGTACTGGAGAGAAGCATCAACCAGGCGTGGGTCACATCCTCAACATGCCTCTCTCTTCGCCTTGCTTAAATCGAAGGAAAATATTTTACTCAATAAATGGATTGAAATATAAACACCATTTCGCGCAATTGGCGAGGGCGTTACTTGTATTAGCAGCAAAACAAGCAAGTGACCTGGGTCTCACTCTCAAAAGTAACGCGTGCAAACGGACTTGTCACTGAAGTGAATACAAGTCATGGGTCCTTTATGTTCCATCGAGACGGTGCTATGCTTTGCAGGAAAATTGTTCCCTTCCTGCTTCAGAATTGGTTCAAATCGACTCTACAATGTTGGTTCTTCTGGTTCAGTGAGTAAATGCACTACTAAAGCACTCTTGATCGTGAACCAGTAGCCCTCGCTAAAAGGTATGTGCGTAGGGGGGCATCCTGTTGGAAATTGGACTTATCTGCGAGGGTTCAAAGACCAGACAAATTGTCCTCGCTTCCTGTCTAGGCTCGCAGCTAAATAATGGTCAACTGGTACCAGTATGTTTTGGTCATGCAGAAACCATTTTAATAGTATCCATATCAGATTTAGAGTTCCATGCATGCCAGCTGCACATTGTTGTTTGTTTCATCTACAACATACAGTCACTGCAGTTTACAGTATATCCTGTTAAGCGTTTTGAGACGTCCTCCTGCCATGAAAGGCACTATACCATGTAAGAATTAGACTCCATGCATGAGGACCTGGATTAAGCAGCTAGTGCTGAATAAGCCTGGTACCTGGCATTGGACTTGGACCTGGTGAATAAGGTAGCTGGCATCTCACAAGCTGTCCTGTAAAGGTACTCCCACCACTTTGAAGGCGATATCCACTGGATAGCTAATGAGGAAACTCTGAGGCTTGGGTGACAGCTGCTGGAAGGCGTTACCTGGAGTCTGCATTTGCGAACACACGTTCGTACGTCTAGAGCCTGGAATCCATCTTGATTGGCTTGCAGAGTGGCAACAGTTGCTGTTTAAACTGTGCACCTTCAATTGTTGGAACCATCACTCAACAGAAATGGATGTGTGCCCAAGCTGCTGACAGGAAGACGGTGGCAATGTCCTCACACATTTCATACTGTGTTGCTTACCGGGAAGCTTGCACGGAGTTTCTGGTACTGATCGTCCACCCAGTGAGGGCTCAAACCTGCACTTGGCAGATATCAAGTGACCAACTAGTGACTATTCACCTGGAAGGGGTGGGGGGTTAGTGTGGGGACGTAAGTGGGGTCTCCTGAAGCTGGACTGGCATGTTTGGCAATGGAATGTTGGAATTGAACTCCTCTTCGACAGAGGCCACACCACCCGGCTACAGGCTTCCATGATACTCCACGACCTAACCGTGGTGGTGTGGCTCTCATCTCCCAGTCCCTGCTCAGCCTATCCACTTACTCCTCTGGAAACTTCCCCTCCTTTGAGCATTTTACCCTTTATCACCCTTCAAACTTTCCATCAAAATTCTCCTTATCTATCCCCCCCCCCCCACAGCTCTCCCCCACCTTCCTCCCCGTCATCTCCACCCTCCTATCTTCCCTCTCCCTTTGCTCCGCACACGGGGCCTCACCATCTCGGATCTCCCATCATTGCCAAAGTGATCTTGGACCATCACTTCATCTCTCTTCACTCCTCAATCCCTCTCCCCACTGCTACCAAACCCACCTCCATCTCCTACCGCCCGGAAAAAATCTCCTCCCCCGCTGCCTTGGAGTCATCTGAACTCTGGGTTTCACCCCATAATGACTTATTCTCATTATCCTCCTCAGTCACTCTTCTCCACCGCTCCTTCTCCACCACTCGCGTTTCCCTTGCTCCCCTCACTTCCCGAACCGTCTCCTACTCACAAAAGTCATCATAGTACACCAGCCACCTTGGCTCCTTTAAAGTAGAGGTGAGTGCCACTGAACACACTTGGCTTAAATCGAACTTAACGGTCCATCGGCAGATCTGGCTGGACTTTATCAAAACTTATCACTCTGCCCTTGCCTCTGCTAAATCGTTGTTCTTCTCCAAGACAATCTTGGAGGTCAAGGACAACCCCAGGCTCCTCTTCTCCATCACCAACCAACCCCTCCACCCACCCTCTCATGCCTCATTTATCCTCACCTCCAACGCCAACTGTGAGGCGGTGCTGGACATCCTCAAATCCAAAGTTGAGGGGATCTTTTCAGCTGCCTCTGCCCTTTCGTCTACTACACCCTCCACATCTCCCCCTCACAACCCGGCCACTACCCATCCCTCTCTCCACACCTTTGAACCTGTCTCCCACTCCTCTCTCACCACAACTTGCATGAAACTGACCACCTGCTCCCTTACCCCCCATCCCTACCCCTCTCCTTACCATCCAGCTCCACCTCCTTGCCCTTCTACTCACAGACATCATTAACCTCTTTCTGTCCATTGGTACCATTTCCATCCCCTTAAAAATAGCTGGCATCACTCCTATCCTTAAAAAACCCTCTCTGGACCCATTCCTGCTCTCAAACTACTGCCCCCATTTCCAACCTCCCTTTCCTCTCCAAGGTCCTGGAATGAGATGTTGCTTCCCAGCTTCACTCCTTCCTCTACCACCACTCCCTTCATGAACCCCTCCAAGCAGGTTTCCATGCCACCTGCAGCACAGAAACAGCCCTGTTCAAAGTGCCAAATGACTTTCTGTCCATCTGCAACCAGGGCACCCTCTGTCTCCTCATCCTCCTTGACCTCTCTGCTGCCTTTGACCACATTGATCACTCTATCCTCATCCATCATTTCTCCTCTCACCTCAACCTTCACGGTTCTATATGCTCTATATGCTCCCCCTTGGTGACATCATCCGCAGACATGGAGTTAACTTCCACATGTATGCGGATGACACCCAACTCTACCTTTCCTCCTCTACTCTCAACTCCACGACCACCGATGTCCTGACAGCCTGCCTGTCCGACATCGAGTCCTGGACGAGAGACAACTTTCTTCAGCTCAACGTGCGAAAAACCGAGGCCCTCCGGATTGGCGCACGTCAGCGCCTCCGCACCTCAGGCGCTGACACCATCAGCATCCAAGGCTGCACTCTCCACCTCTCAAAGCCAGTCAGGAACCTCGGCGTTTTGTTCGACCCTGAGCTGTCCTTTTTCCCTCACATCCGCACTACAACTGGCACCGCCTTCCATCACCCTCGGAACATCGCCAGACTACGGCACTACCTCACCCCTCATGCTGCTGAAACCCTGGTCCACGCCTTTGTCACCTCAAGGCTGGACTATGGGAACTCTCTCCTCGTCGGCCTTCCCGCCACCTCCCTCCACAAGCTGCAGGTCATTCAGAACTCTGCAGCTCGTGTACTGTCCCGCACCAGGCTTCGGGAACACATCACTCCCACCCTCGCTCGCCTCCACTGGCTCCCCATCCCCAGAGGATTGATTTCAAGATCCTCATC